TCAGCCTGTGCCACAGCTCGGGTGCTTCAGCACACAGAAAAAGGAAAGAAAATGAGACTCCTGCACAGTTATATTTGGTTCTTAATAGATAAAACGCAAAAATTATTCACATCGTGTCCCCACAGTGCACTCGCCCAGTCTCAGCACTCTCCCCAGTTCAGTGCAAGTCCAGCTCTTCTGGGCACAGGAGGCAACAAACAGTATCAGGGAGCCAGTACCCCAACCACAGGATTTGGAATTACTCCAAAAGGTACTATTTGGGCATGTTTCTTTAGGTACCACAATTCAGAGAGCACTCTGCACCTACCACCGGTGCTGCCCTTCAGCAGCAACCCTCTCTGTCCTGAGCTGCAGGGCAACGCAGGAGCCAACAACAGCCTCATTACTGCCAGGGATTCCCAAGGGTATGGCATGGTCCTTCCACTGGATGCTCAGGCAAGGCTCCCTGAGCACAAAGGGACAGAGCATGGCCTAGCGCCTGGCACTAACTCAGCCCCCCACACCCAGGCCATGAGTGACCCAGCCAGAAGCAATCCCTGATGTTTCATTCACAAAACACGCTCCCTTCTTTAACAGGAGCCTCAGGCATTTTTCAAATACTCTGACACTGTCCCTACCTCCTGCTGTGTGCAAACTCCACGGCACCCGCCTCATGGTCAATAAAAATGGTAAAAAACCTTCTCCTGACTCACATGGCTGAAATGGATGCAGATCCCTGGGCCTTCTCTCCTCCAGGCTCAGCTTAATTAGGGAGCAGCCAGCAAACCACAAGTGTGCTCACAAAAGAGGTTTGCATCTAAAAGGCTTTGACTGCAGCTCTTTGTAACTAGTCACAAACATCTGGTGCCTGGCAAGCTTGCCTGCCTCTTGGAAAGGGTTTCCAATGAGAAAATTCCTGTAGCCTGCACCTGAATTCTCCTCAGCGCACCATGCAGTACTCAGATCTCTCCCATGGCTCCTCTTCTAAGCTGCCAGCTTTGCAGAAGCCATTTCTGGCACTGATTTCCCCACCATGGCCGTCCACCCACTATAACGCATTTTAAATAGTGCACGTGGTCTGACAGAGAACAGTTATTCCCTTGAATGTTTGTGGGTTGATAAGCAGTTTTAAAAATTCAAGTGATAGTGTTGGTCCCGGTTTTATTGGCACAATGAAACAGAGCCCACGGTGGGGACAGTCCCCTCAGAGGAGGAGGAAACAGGAGTAATTATTTTCTCCTCTTTTCTCTTTGCTCCTTTCACGTGCATGTGTGAGTGTGCAACTGTGCTCAAAAGCCAGCCTTGTGGAGACTTCCTTAAATATCTATCGAAGATTAAATGATCTCATGTGCCTGTAATGATGGCCTCTACCAAAAACTGTTCCCATCTGAAAGCTGCCCAGTGCTGCATGATCCAAAATGAGCTGCTGACCTCAGAAGAGAACCCAGCAGGCAAACCACCACATCACAGAGACTCAGCCCTCTGGACGCACTGCTAATTGTCCCCTTGTCTGCGGGCTCTCAGGGAAGGCAACTACTCAAGGGCAGGGGAACTGTGCTCCCAGCTTGTGTTACTGAGGGACTTTCTCCTAAGCCTCATTTCCAGCGTGTTTGTGGAGATGCTGTCCCAGTCCCTGCTTGGGACAGGTACCTTTTGCCTGGCAAAGTCACCATACCTCAATCTGAATTGTCCCACCCACAAATGCAGGCACTGGATTCGCCCCTGCAAACTAACCAAATAACCCAAAACCAAGCCCAACCTCAGTGCAGGGAGAGGCAAACCTGCCATGAACATGGATGCTCTGACTGAAACCAGTCCCAAAGCCAGCAAGCATCTGTTGTCACTGCATTTCCACAAGATCTTGCTGAAATTACGACCAGCTCCCTGCTGTGACTCTATTCCCCAGTGAGGGTTGCGAGCACCAGTGTGGTAAAAGGATCTTGATGGGTAAAAATTACGCTTTCTTTTAAGAAGACCCACTAATGGCACCTCGTGCATCTGTCACTGCATTAACAACATCAATCTGAGACTGTGCATAAGCTGGGTAACTGGTGAAGAGAACAGCTTGCTTACATTAGGAGGTCTGGCTGAAGGGAGACCTTTGGCTTTGTTTCTCTGGAAGGGTTGTGATCGGCTAACAGGAAAGTGGATACTTTCTTGTGGGTATTCACATTTTTGCAGATTGGATCCCTTATGTATACAAAGGGGGAGACCTCTCAGATCAATGTGGGAAGAAGGAGTGGGAGACTGTAGAATAATATTTGGGAGGGCAGCAAAGGGAGGGCAGTTACAGCAATGGTAAAACACACGTGTGCATTCTGGAGAGCAGAGCTATGGAAAAAAAGACACAAAGTCAGGTTGTGGGGTCACTTTCACCCCCTCCCTCCCAAGAGTCTGGATTTGCCTCCTTCCACACCCTGCCAAGAAAAACAAAGAAACTAAATATAAAAATGCAGTGATCTGGGGAGCTGCTCCAATGCCCAAAACGTAGGTGTCTAATGCTGTTTTAGGCACTGCTGGTGATCCAAGACATCTGAGTGGGGCTGGCAGATACAGCACCAGACCTATGGCAGGCTCCCTCCCTCCCAGGGCAGCAGCCAGAGGTCAGGCAGGGTACCCTGGGGCATGGAAAAGGGCACTCCATGCCTACATTTGGGCATCTGAACAGCTTCCCCAGAGCCCTGTGTGTTTGGACAGTTGGAGTTAATCATAAAAGAGAAACAGAGCTTCACTTAACAAATAGCACTGTGAGATTTGGTAGCAGAGAGGGTAAAATAGGATCTGAGCACAGGGGACAGTCCGGCTGAGTTGGAGGGAGGAGGATGGGCAGAAGAGGAGGACGATGGGCAGGAAAGCAGCTGAGTAGAGCAGCTGCCAGCAGCTCGGAGAAGTTTCAAATTCCTTTTGCGCCACGCCGAAATTTAGTCATAAATGACAACGGGGGACCTGGGGACAGAGGGGTATTTTCTGAAGGGTGTGATCTGCTGGCTTTTTAGACTCTTATGTGTTCCACATGTCTGAGCGCCTCCCAAACACGTCCTCTGCACATGCAGTGCACCACGGCTGCGCTATCCTCCCTGCCTTGCAGACGGGCATCTGGAAGCACAGAGGGATGGATGTTTTCAGCAGCCCACATGGCAGTCTCAGGCTTGACCCCAGTTGTTGTCAGTGGGAGTTTAGGCCCCAAACTTCCTTTTCATGCCTTTGAAGCCGGGAGCTTGCAAGGGAGACAGACTTCAGTCAGCCTTCAGCTCCTGGCTTAACCCTTTCACCCCATGCCTGTCCTCCCTCGGTGGGTAAAATAGTGGGTGTTTCTGTGCTTCATTTGGTGATTACAACTTATATGCAGCAATTAATTTTTCCAGTGGAGGAATAAAATAATCCTCTAAGGGCACTGTAACTCAGCCCTCCAGGCTTCCTATCCCTCCTGGTCCCCTTTCTCTCCTATCCCCCTGCAGTGCAAACAGCCCCAGAGTACGAGGCAGCTCAGTGCCCTCCTCATCCTGCACCCTTCCTTCCAAACACCCTGTTAGAGGAAGAAAAGAAAAGGAACACAAAAAAAAAAAAAAAAAAAAAAAAAAAAAAAAAAAAAAAAAAAAAAAAAAAAAACACCCTTGCTTGGAAACTTTTACAAACAAATATTTTCAATTTTGCTGCTCCTGAAATATTAGCGAGGAGAAAATTTTGGGTCCTCTCCGTGGTTTGTTTTATTCTCTAGATTTCACCTCCACCAGGAGCTTAATCAGTGCAAATCAAATTACGCCTCCTGTTTACTTATCTCCAGAGCGCTGACACCGGCAACCCGGCTTATCTCGGCGTGGCAGGAGCCAGCGCCTTCCTTGGGGGTAGGACAGGAACTCCACAGAAGCTACTTGTAGTGGGAGAAGGAGCGTAAATCAGGGAAAGCTCTGATGGCTGTGCTCCCTAGCAGCGAGGTTACGCTCCCCATGCTCCGCTGCTTGCCAGGGGCAGTGCAGGGAAGCCGAAGTCCAAGATGCCCACGGGGTGGAGGCTGCCTCCTCCCAGTGGATTAGCAACCTGGAAGCCAGGGTTTGGATTTTGACTTACTCATTTGTAAGGAGGAGGCGGTGATGGACCTGTCTGCGGCGGTGAAGGTGGGGTAGTTTGCAGAGCTGACACGGTGTTTCACAGTCACCGCATCCTTCGCGCTGCTCCTGTGGTCAGACCGCCCTCCTGCCAGGGAAAGGGGGGTTATTTCCCAGCAGAGGTGGGGCACAGAGACCGTGTGAGCACATCCCACTGCCCAGGAGCACCGCAGACACCCCAGAGCTGGCCCATACTGACTCAGGGGCGAGGAAGTGCCGCATTTTACTCCCGTAACAGCTTTGTGCCTCAGTTTCCCCACTAGTGATAGTGTTCGCTTTGTCACCGTGCTGTTCTGAGATGCCTCAGCAGGGCAGCCTGTAAAACAGAGGTATGACCTGCTTATTGCCGTGCTTTGCACTGCTGGGAGCACCTGGAGCCTTGGGCATCGCCAACACGAGCCTGCCAGCACCTGGGATAGATAAACTGACTCCGCTGGGCTCATGTTCGTGCCAGTCTTACGTGGATTGCGTGATAAAAGCAGAGCTGGGTATCGCACTTGGGTTGAGTGGGGTGAGTCGCCCTCATCGGGGTCTCACCTCCTCCACCCGCGGAAAAGCTGCTGTGCTAGAGGGCCAATGCACACCCGCTGCATCCTCCAAGGAAAAACTATGCGAATCCCGGGTTTCCCCGGCGTTTGCGTGTGTTTAAACGTACTTGGCCCCGCAGAGTGAAACCGGCGCCCTTCCCCGCCTGCCCGCGGCTCCCATCCCGTCGCCGGCAGCGGGAGGGAGGGACGGAGGGCACCGCCCGCCCCCGGGGCTGCCCCGCGGGCCCGGGGCGGGGGGCGCGGGCGGGACGCGGGGCCGGGGCGGAGCGGAGCGGGGCAATCCCGCCGCAGCGCTGGGAGGGAGCGGCGAGCAGGGCTGGGCGAGGGATCGCGCGGAGGCGCCTCATCCCCTTCATTCTCCCCGCAGATCTTTCAATGGAGGCAGCTGGAGAACCTCTATTTCCGCGAGAAGAAGTTCTCGGTGGAGGTGCACGATCCGCGCAGGTGAGCGATAAGACGAGCCGGGATGAGCCGGGATGAGCCGGGCTTTGCGGTGCCGAGCCTTGAGCCGGGTCTTGCGGAGCCGCGCTGCCCTCGCTGCTGTGCCGGGGCTCGCTGAGCTTGGGAACCCGTAAGAGAGGGACAGCGGGTGCCAAGCCGGGGGCTGCTGCTTCCTTCCAGCGGGACATTTCTTGTCCGGGTGGGTGTTTTTGAGGATGTGTTTCCCCTCGGCTCCCAGCGGTATTTTTTTCTCCTTCCCTCTGTTTTGGCACCTTGTGACCCCCGGGACTGTGCAGCTCCGGTGCCCGAGCTGCGGTGCCAGCAGCCCCCGTGAGTTTAAGGGGGTTTTGCCTTGTCCCCGTGTTGCACTCGGAGCTCAGAGCTGGGCACCAGATTTTGTACTCACATGCTTCCTTGTAAATAAATATTCAGTAGTGCAACTGAAAGGAATGGCACGGAACCAGAGGTTTACCGGCAGCCTGGATGAAAGCCCATCTGTCTTTTTGGCACAGGAGTCTTGTCTTTTCTTACTTTAGAAACCTGAGAGTTAGTTCAAGGGACTGTGCTGCATCTCATCAGAGTATTCAGCACCCCTTGTGTGTTTGCGTTAGTGGATGGTTACTGCAGTGACCAGCGTGAATATGGATCTGTAAGTGTTTCTCACTAAAAGCAATGTCTCACTTGCAGTGTAAGTATGATACAACTGGTGGAGACCAGCTCTGTTCCCAGGCTGATTTGATGTGCTGCTGGTAGTAGTGTGTTTTGCTGATCACTCAGCTGTGATCCTGTTTCACCTGTTTCCCATGCCTATCTGTGTACTAATATATGTACTTTTGTTAGTGGAATTTTGCATGCAGTTTCTGTGCTTATTTATCCTGATATGAACACAATCACACCAGTACAGTGGTGCCTGTCTGCAGAGGTGCGTTTTGTTAAAGCAAAACCAGAATAGAGCAGCTCATATCATTGTGCAGCTCTAGGTCGGCAGAACCTTGAAGCATCTGCTTAATATTAAGCACGTAAATAGTCGCATGAAATCTAGCAGAGCGAATTCCCAAAGTTGAGAATCCGCTGGGAGATCTTCCAGCAGCAGGAGCTGGGGGTGGTGCACTCCTTCCCTCACCGAGCCTCCAGAGGTGTCAGAAACCTTGCTGCAAGCAACCAGCAGCCAGGAGCCCCTAAATGCCCTGAGTTATGGCTGTTTCCTGCAAGGAGCAGTTCCAAGGAAAAGAAAAGAAACAGCTCAGGGACTTTAAGAATCATGATGATACTTGCAATTCAATGTCATGCATGAAACGTGACCACACAGAGGAACCTCTTCTGTTTCATTCGTGTTTAGATTATAGGAATTAGTGACACAGAAGAGCTTCCGCTTTTTTATTCCATTCCGTTTTTTCTCTGAATCAACACCAGGAGGACAAAGCCCTGTCCCAGGTTGTCAGCCTGGTACTTTCTCGCTACAAGGGAATTTTTGTGGCTGGGTTTTTGATTCATTTTTGCATTCAGAGCACCACCATCCAGGTCGAACTGGTGCTCTGGCTGTAAAGCAGCACGGCACGTTGCAGCGGCGTGGTGGGAACGCAGCTCAGTGTGTAGTCTCCTGGCCAAGTGGGATGGACTCCTGCGAGGAGTTGTTCAGCATGTGGAGGCGGAGGAGTAGCCAACACAGTGCTCTCTCCACATTCCTCTCTGTGTAGCCAAACCAGAGCCTGAGTCAGCGAAGCCACAGTCAGGAGAGCGAGCGCAGCTCCGTGATTGTGGCCAGGGCTGGGCAGCACAATGTATGTTTTTAAACCCTGCCTCTGCCCATGGCTTCCTGTCCCCAACAAGCCATTTAACCTCTCTTCACTGCAGTTACTTATCCCATAAAGGAGAAAAATTATACATTTTGGGGGTATCAACAGGGTTAATTCCATAGTGCACGTAGCATGCATGGAGGGAAGTCATGGAAAAAACACCCATGGGCCACCTCTCTCAAGTCCTCAGAAGACAGCTGTGAAAAACAAGTCCACAGCTCTGACCAGCAAAGTCTACAGACTTTTGGGGTCTGCAGTTTTGATGGGAAACGTGTACAAATCCCAAAGAGAAAAAAAATTGGAAATCACTGCTTTTATGACGAGAAGAGGAATGGTTTGCAGAATATGTTTCTAAGAGTTCTTGGAGTAACTACATTTGAACTGAATAAGATTACATCAGAATTAAGGCTTCAGCCCATGTTCGAGTGCCTTAATGCCTTGCATGCCAATGTGCTACAGTGGTTTGTGTCCCTTAAACCAACATAAAGCACTCAGAGTTGGATCTCTTTCTCTCTCTAGCCTCAGCTTCAAGATTGTCTCCCAGCGAAGCCTTCATTCCCTGTCCAGTGACAGGAATGAGGCAGCTCAGCAACCATCCTCATTAGCACCAGTGTCCTGTTGTATCCAGGGAGAATTTTGTCATGAGAATAATACTCCTAAATGGGACAGTTGCATGGAAAGGACTCAGCACAGGGTAACACTGAAACCTGAGATCCCAGTTGTCTCAGACCCTGTTTGCATTGGCCACTGCTGTTTTCTCAGAAATTTCACCCCGATTTGTAGCTTCATAATTTGACTTTAACACATTTTGAAGCACTGAAAAGGCCCTGAGATACAAGAGCTGTCAGTCCTCTCCCAAGCTGAACATTGCCAGCAGTTCTCATTTTGCTGCAGAGTTTTGGTTTTCTTTCACTTTTGGCTGTGTCACAACTTTCTTTGTGTGCCTCCCCTCACCACGTTCACCTCCAAGTTTGGACAGGCACCAGAGGAGAGGTAGCCACTGCAGGTGCAGGAGGTGGCCTTAGCAGGCTTGAGGACTTCTAAGTGCCAGTAAAAGAGTCATCTATCTCTTGCACAGCACAGTGGAGCTCCTGGCCCTCCTGCAGTGCTACCTCCACACCTGCATGGCACAGGGTCCCTGCTGATGGTGGCAACCCCACTGTAGTACACCTGCTCCCCAGGCTGTCTCTCGCACTGGTCCCTCTTCCAGCATCCACATCCCTGCATAAAAGGGACAAGTGTCACGTTTCTGAGTGAGCCTCATGAAACATCATTTCACGTTGTACTCCACCACACGACTCTTCTTAAAAGACTGGAGAGGAGGCCCTCATTTGTTTGGGACTCTGTAGATTGGTGGTGTGGTTTATTCCAGCCAGCTCTCTATCCCTGCAGTGGGAGGAGTTCTGCAGACCAGGATGCTGTGAACCTGGATGTGCCAGTGTGCTGGTGTCAGGGGCTCTGCTGGTGGAGCTGAAGTTGAGGGATGGGGAGGAATAATCAAGCAGTTCCATACAGCTGTGAAAGCACGGGGAAACCTAATCTGTGGTTTTTTGCTATGTTTGAGAACAATTGGGAGTCCCAGAGAGGAAACATTTAGCTCTTATTTTTCCTGTTTTTAAATTCACTCAGCTAATCATTGAGTACCGTTCTTCTCTCCAGGGTACTGGGCAGCCCCCTCCAAGCCTCACAACTCCCTTCTCCCATACACTTGGCAAGTCCTGCTGTATCTGTTCACAAGGTATCTGAAAAGTTTCTCCCACTTTCCCTAAAGTAGCCATCGTTCCTATGGATCTTTAGTTGCTGTGTGGGTCCTAATATTTGAGAGCCTCTGTCCAAAGCCAGAGTTAGTGGAGGGTGTGAGGACTTGGCCTCAGGTGTCTCAGCATGTAATGAGACAGAGCATTCACACCTGCGTTGGCCTTGGTGACACCCCTGGCATATGTAGCAAGTCAGCACCAGCTCAGCCAAACCCAGGAATACAGTCAGAACTGGACAAACTGGATCATCTTTACTGTTAGTCCTCTGGAGCTTGCTGTCTTGAGGAGATACTTAAAGTAAATGCTCTCCTGGCTTGATTAGCTATTTATTGCTGTTTTCTAAGCATTCTTTCTCATTAGCACAAGGGCGTGCACAGTAAAGACAGCAGCTTTTACCAGGAGATCTGTGTGGCAGGGTCTGCCACAGAAAGAAATGCGATGCAGCCTTGGTGTAACCCCAGTTCATTCTTTTCTCCTCTCCAGGGCATCTGTGACCAGGAGGACTTTTGGGCATAGTGGCATCGCTGTGCATACGTGGTACGCCTGTCCAGCACTAATAAAGTCTATCTGGGCTATGGCCATTAGTCAACACCAGTTCTACCTGGACAGGAAGCAAAGCAAGGTAAGCATGTTGGAGTGGGAAATGCGTGTTGTGGTTGGTGAGTCCTTCTCACTCCTCACAGTCTCAGCAAGGTCAAGTCCAGGTGGTGGCTCCTTTCCTGTCCTCCCTTTCCACCTGAGATTGGGAAAAGGCAAATTGACCCAAAGTATCTGCTAGTTTTGGCCAGATTGAGAAAATCGATACTGAATTCATGTCTGTGGGAGTAAGAATTGAGGAAAAAGCTGTACTGAACTGTGGCCAAATTGAAGGAGCCAAAGTTTGCAAGAAGATAGGGTCACATCCCTGTCTGGATGTTTTCCATGTCTTGAACTCTCTCAGAAAGTTAGGGCAGCTCCCAATAACTGAGTTCAAAGCAGCTTCACAATTTACACCTGTTTCTTGCTGTCTTGAATCTTTCTTGCTGTCCCTTGCATTTTACTATCGTATTTTCCTAGAAAGGAGGGGTAGGGATATTATTTTAGGAGAGGGGCGGGAGGCTGACAGCCTGGCCTTACAAGGAACTGTCTTGATCTGGTGCTGGACAAAGGGCCACGCAGTACACAAAAGAAGCCACCTTGAAACCAGAGGAGTGTGTGTTGTATAATTCCTTTCATCAGTATTTTTAGGCATACCCAGAGCAGCAGGAGATTTCTTTGATCACTTTGAGATCACTTTGAGACAGAGGGGAGACTTCTTGTGCAGACTTCCCTCTCCATATGAGCACACTCGTGACAAACTTTACAGAGAAGACAGAGTCAGTATTGAGTGGGCACGTGCATTGTCCCCTCATCTCTGGGGAAAGGGCAGAATATACAGGTGATGTTCCTCCAAATGGCTGAAACCATCTTAACATCTTGCTATTGCTGAAAGCGCTGGGGGCATTTTCAGGCAGGTCCCTATCAGATCCCTCCATGGGCCAGTTCAGCCCCCTAAACTGGCAGGGAAACATTTCTTTTTCCTGCTTTTCTTTATTGCATTTTTTTTTCTACCAGTTAAATGAATTGAATTGGCTTGATGGAATTTTCTGAAGGGCCATCAATGTGCTGTTAGTCCCACTCTAAACCGTTCTGACATTGCTTTCCCCACCATGAGCTCTGTGCTTTATTGCAGAGTGGGTAGGACTTTTGGATGCCCTGGGCAGAACACGCGGTTGCACTCTTTGGCCATGTCCCATCTAATGGAAAAATCCAGGTTTCACCTCAGCTGCTGTGAGCTGTATTGAATTTAAAGATGTAGCCAACTTCCCACCCCTGCCTAAGTGCCAGCTGTGAATATGGACAGAATTGCACGCTCACCCAACACCACAGGATGCTTTCCTGTCCCCCTTCTCTGCTCAGGATCATCAGGGCAGTGCATAGTCTTCTCTGTTAACTCAGCAAACAAACAGAAGTTTATTTTTCTTTACTTTTAGCCAGATGGATTTGCTGATCTAGCTGTAAGGTATTTAGGTCACAAGCAACCAACAAACAAAAGGAGATTCCCTCCTCCTCTCATTTCTTTGGTAAGAAACTGGGCCTCTGAAATGCCCAGGACTTCCCTTCAGTGACTTCTTTTGTTGTTGGCAGATTGTGTTTCAGTCTGATCTCCTCTCTCTCACACTCCTAGAGACAGCACCACCCACCAGCCCTCATTTGTCAACCTGTCACGTCTGTGACCATGTCAGTGTGCTTTGTCACAATAATCCCGGTGGTCATGCTGAGGCTTTGAAGTTAAGGCACACAAATATTTTTGTCCCTTTCTCTAAAAAGAACTGGTATTCTAGTCAGATGTCCTCATCTTTGACGTGACACTGTCAATATTGATAGATCCATCAATTTTAATTGATCAGTTCGTCCTGCTGGTCACTTCAAGGACACTGTACTCATGTGGGCTTCACTTTGGAAAGCCAGTAAATCATATCCCAGAGTGGGGTGATGTGAAATGTCTTGGTTTCAGCTCTCAGGGCCTAGACAAACATTTATTTGAGTTTCAGGTCACATGGGTTTGCAGCCCCTTAAATCTCAGGCCCCACTTCAATTGAATCCCCAACTTCAAAGCAGAACTTAGATATTCCTTCCTTTCATGTCCAAACTTGGCATTTCACATCATTTTGACAAAAGAAAGAAAAATAAAAACAAACTTAGAAGAAAAAACCTGCTGGAGCTCACTGCAGCTGAGCCTTTGCTCCAGTGATGTAGATTAGATGGCAGAAGATGTGACATAGTGATAAAAAAAAGCTTGAACTCTGTTCTTCACATAAATGGGCACCAGTTGGATCTGGACCTTCTGCATAGCTCCACTGGAAAAAAAAACCCTTCACTTGATTTTAAAAAGAAATAAAATCAGCTTTGCCTCGATTCTGACCCTTTTAAAAGTGAGGTCCCAGCCATCTTTGCAGCCTCACTCCATGTTTAAGTCCTGCCAGCTCCGGGTTCCCAGAGTCTCGCTTGCTGCTGATCCATCTCTCTCTCCCTGCAATCAAAGCTTTACGCAGAGACTGAAAAGATCCCCAGCTTGCAAGTGAACTTGTCAGTGTGCCGAACTCCTGTCAGCTTCCCTTTTTTGGGGGGAGACAGATGCAGCAGGACTTCAAGTCATGTCTTTGCTCTGTTGACTGCACTGAGTCAATCAAACGTTTGGCCTAGAAACCTCGAGAAGTCCTGTTTTGTGGGAATTTTCAACAGCACGTTCCACCGAGTGCAAGGCTTTCTGGCTGAGTGAACTGGTAGAAAATAGGCCACGGTTTTCAAAAAATCACCTCTAGCAAAGCCTCAGCACCTCAGAAAGAGGGATAAATTCATCCCTAGTGTCCATCTACTGCTGCCTTCCACTTATGGATTTTTCTTCACCCTCTGACCCCGTCAGAACAGTGCTGGGGATCAGTTTGGCCTCATGCTTTGAAATGACTCATGAATGAGCCAGTCTCCCTCCATGTAAATGAGACTTGGCAGGTCTGCGCTAAGTGCTTTAAAATTTCTGAGCCTGGAGGGACTGCAGGGCTCAGGGGAGTGCTAATGGGGTGTAATCCAGCTTTTCACCCTTGTCTGCAGCACACAGCCTGCCCAGGCCTCGCACTGGCTGTTGCTCAGTGGCCTGTGTGGAATGAGCTGTTGGGCTGATTCCTGCTGCTGCTGAGAGCCTGTCCAAAGCACGAGACCACCCGATGCTGATTGGCATTGCTGTAGGGAGCAGAGGCAGCATGGAAAATTAACCCTGTTCTTTTCAGGAGATGCTACATCCCCACTGTTTAATGCAGGGCACCGTAAGCGCACCTGCAATCAGGTCTAAAACCTTCCTCTATGGCTTCAGCAGGTTTGAATTGTACCCTCTGTAAGGGAAGCTCTCTCTGCCCTCTGATCCCAGCTGCTCTCTGCTGGTTTGCTTTTCCTCTCTCTGGCTCCAGGGGTGCCAGGCCTTTGTCTTACATTGTTTTTTCATTTGGCCTATGTAGGGCACACTTCCAGCCACTGCTGGCTTGGTGTGCCAGCCAGGACCACAACAGCACCCGGCAGCCTCATTGCCTTCACTCAGCAGTTTGGTTGGGGCCCAGCCAGACAGGTAGGGCCAGAGTGTGCCCCAATTTGCGTTCTGGATATGAGTGGAAATAAACTGTCGGGCTTCTCACTGTAACTATCCTACAAATACAGGAAAACCACTACCTCACAGAGCAGGAAGGATGGGTCTGTCTGTGCAGACTTGGGATTTGTGCCTTCCCAAGACATCTGCTGCAAGGACTCAGTGTGTTGGGTAAGGCAGGCATTGGGTTTGATCAGTATGGCTGTTCCTGGGGTTATACAAGGTACACATAACCCTGCATCCGTGTAGGGTTACACGCAGCATACGTACACCTGCAGGGGATAAATCAGCAGGACAGAGGCAGTCAGACCTCCAGAGGTCTGGATTTGCAGCAAGAACAGCTGTTCATGCTCAGGCTCCTTATCAAGACTTCGGTAGCAGGAAATCTTGTTAGATAAAAGCAGTAACTTTCCTCCTCACCTAGAACTAACCTTCCAGAGCTGCTTGGAGAACACGTTTCACAGGCCTTGTTTCTGACCAGAAACATCTGATCCAAGAAGTTAAAGAGTGCTGTCCTTCTCCTGAAGCTGATTTTAGGGAGGAACTGCTGGGAACGAGAAGTGTCTAACTGGTTGCAACATTAGCTGAAGAGGGTCAGAACTGGTTGACTGATCTGCTCTGACATCTTGGCAGGTAGTTCAGCCTCTGCGCTCCAGTGAGTGAGAACACATGCCCTATTATTGGTGTTGTTGTGGAAATAGGCTTGTGAGGCATTTGTGTACCTCGGAATGGTAATGATGGAGCCTATAAATACCCAAGAATATTAAATTATTATAATACTTCTGAGCATGTTTTCAGCGCAAGGCTTTCCCAGTGCTGTCTTCATTTGCAGTCTTAAATCAATCTTAAAAATACAGCGTGCAACAGGGAGACATTTTCCTTCCCTTATTATTTCACTGATACTCAAACAGAGGCAGGGGATCACTAAGAACTTAACCTTAAGTGTCTTACCCAGAGCCCCACAGCACATCAGTAATAGAGCTAAGAAGCTCAGTGTAGCAAGCACTGAGGCATCAATACAGCCTTAGTTCTTGTTGAAATGGTTTCTTCTTCCTAAGAATGTGAAGTAATACCAAAAATCCCATCATGGCAAGCGTTCCTTGTAATCCTGCTTCATGTCACTTCCAGTGGGAACAGATCACGCCCTGGTACATGGATGTCAGTCAGCTTCTGATTTGTCAGCACTGTGATGATGTGCCCATGGCCTGAACTGTGTGACTGGGGCAGAGTGTCTTCTGGCCTTGAAAAGGTGCAGAGGTGAACACTCAGGTGATCCTGAGCTGAGGCTTCACCACTCTTCATGCAGTTGGAGAGCCTTGGCAAGATGTACCAACAGTTTTCTGCGTTCTGGGAAATCAAAATTACAGGTCGGTGGCCCTGTGAGGCCAAGCTAATTCAAGCTCAGCAGCACAAGGCTTGTGATATTTGGGTGACAGGCTGAGCTCCAGCTCCCCCCATCCGTGACTGAGGGGTTCACATGAGGGTCGGCAGCAAGAAGCAGATTTCCAGGTTTGGAGATAAATAGCAGTTACTTTGTGTGCCTTGGTACAGACAGCGAGCTTCTCCCTGGTTGTCAGTTCCCTCCTTGTTAACGTGGTGGTTTGTTACCTGAAGTGACTTCAACAACCAATACATAAAATAGAGCTCAGAACATAAATATTAGTTCAGAAGAGGCAGGAGGAAATTTTCCATGTGGACAGATAATTCCACAATGAAAAGTTTCCTTACTTTTTAAGTTCTTGGAGATAATTCAAGTCAGAAATGAGACAGAGGACTAGAGAGGGTTGTTCTGATGTGGCAGTTGCTATTTTAAGTTGATCCTAAGGCTGTATTGGTCAAAAAAAGGACGGAAAAATTCTTGTGGCCACCCAAGACCTTTATATGTCGGGTTCTTCTTCCCAGTAGTGCTGGAAGGGCCATCCTCAGCAACTTTGATCAATGTTCTTGATCCTCTTGTTCATGTTAAGCACCTGCTAGAGGCTGTCAGGAGAATGGGCTGGAGGTGGCTGGTGAGTTAGTGACAGTGGGGTTTGCATGGCAGGGGCAAGGCAGCCACTAGGAAGGATTGAGTGAGCCCAACCCTGGAAGCAGTTGCCGTGCTCATTTCAGTGCTCAGGGCTGCTGACCCCCTTGCCCTGAACATTTTCTTCCTTTGTTGGCTCTGGAGACATGACCACATCTGAGCTTACTGCTCAACAAAGAGAAAGTTCTGGAGTTATCTCAACTTTTCAGGCATCATCTTGTCTCAAATCCTTCCATAGCCAATGGAAAAAGAGTGACATCTTAGGAAGTCCACTCATTCCCTCCTAAGATAGGAGGAGGACTAGATAATAGCTGGAGGTCCCTTCCAGCGGAAATTATTCTATTCTATTCTGTTCTGTTCTGTTTTATGGGTTTACACACTATGCATGTTTACTTTTTTGTAATTACAAACTACAACTATCTTGTTGACATTTCGTGGTGAACAATGGGTAACTCCCTGCCCTAGTGCGGCCAGTTACTGAGGTGGCTGGCTGTTGTTTCTTACTGGAGTAATGTTAATACTTTGAAGAGGTCCCTCACAACAGGGGCATTGAATGCAGCTTGTTAGTCTGGACAACAAAACCTGAATGTGTTTTCCTGCTAGTATTTTCTTCTAGCTTCTCATGACAGCCCTTTTAAGCCATGTCCTCACTGTGTCTTGGTCCAAAGCTCATTGCAGATTTTTAAAGGCCTCTCCTGGCTTCCTTTAGATGCTAGAGATGGTCTTTAGCCTTTGAGCTTTTCAGATTATTATGCAGGCATTTCTGAAGGTTTCTTATTGTATGTGGTAAAACAGTGACTCCATACATCTTTTGTTTAAGAGGGAAAAATGTGCATAGCAAAGCAGAGAAAAACCCAAACAACAGGAAGCAATGCCAGAATTGTACCCACTAGAGAATGTAAAAAGTGCAGCGATCTGTGCCAGATTGCTTCTATTCTTGTAAAATAATCCAAGTTTGCTGTGGAGGCCTGTTTCCTGCCACAGCGAAAGGTCTTTTTCCTTCTGTGAGCTTTAGAGAAGTGTTAGATCATTACTAACTCCTGTGTCCACCTCCAGTCCAAGATTCATGCTGCAAGAAGCCTGAGTGAGATTGCGATTGACCTGACCGAAACTGGAACGCTCAAGACCTCGAAGCTGGCCAACATGGGGAGTAAAGGCAAAATTATCAGCGGCAGCAGCGGGAGTCTTCTGTCATCAGGTAGGTCCTTTATCCTGTAACTAGAGGGAATATGGTGGGAAGGGCCACGGTCATGGTGTAATGGGGAGCAGCCAGAAGCTGCGCTGCAGAAATGAAAGTCACTTCCCTTCAGCCTTTCTATATGTCCAGGTGTCAGTCCATCTCTCAGCATGCTGCTCCACAAACAGCACAGGCAGCAGCCTCCCCCTCTCTCTTTACCACCACTTGTTTCCTCCAGGATGTCATCTCCAACCTCTCAATTTCCAGCTGAAACCTGGTGTCTCTTCACAGTTTCTACCCTGACCATCTCTTGGCTCCCAGCTCATCCCGAGGCAGATGGGTTTGTGAAGGAGTGCCCAGCCAGCAGTGAGGAAGCAGTGAGCCAGTGCAGCTCACGAGGGAAGCTGAGGCTGGGAACTGGTGGTGTCCCTCAGCGGTGTTGAGGCAGTGTATCTTCTTCACGGAGTGCACATCTGCTTTGCCTCTCTGTTGCTGGACTTTGGCTGGTGTCCCAGGCCCAACAGAGCTATTCCCTAGCACTCTCTACCGAACCAGTGGCAGGTAGAGGTTTCTTTTTGTAGCTTAGAGCACCTTCCTGTGTGAAGAAGAAACTGTTAAAGAAACCCAAGAGAAGGTGATAGAGAGGAGAGCTAGAGCATGAGGATAGAAAGACTGGAGAAGGGTACTTAGGAGGTTGTCTGTATCTCTTTGATCCTCCACTGTCAGTCTGAACCGGGCAAGCTGTGTGTAAAACAGTGATAAATGTCACTGCAGGCACAAAACAGGGGTTGCCAGTTTGCAAAGAGCTTGAAGCTGCTTAGGTGAGAAGGTATTCAGGAGAGCAAGGTTGCTGGTATCACTATAATTAAGTTTCAGTCAATTAACCTTCTGTTAAACGTCACATCAAGTTATCAAAACCAAATGTGTTGAGATGTATAGCAGCAGAGAAAAACCTTCTTATGCTTGGACAAGGGGAGAGCCCATATAAGAATGCAAATGCTTTAAAATTGAGCCCACACTGGTGTAGTAAAATAAGCTTTTTATCACTGTATCCTTCATGTCTCTTACAAGCTGCACTTTCCTGCTTGGAAAATGTTCAGCAAGGGGTTAAAATGTGCGATACTTACAGAGCTCCAGAGCTGCCTGCTGTGCAATTCCTTGCCTTGCCTGCAAACAGAGTTGCCTTTCTGCTCCTGAGGTCTTCCTGTCAAAGTATACAATCCACTGTCTGTGCCTCCCATCGCTTAGGGAGTTGCAGTAGCTCAGCAGCTCCCAGACTGGTGTCGGGTTTTTGGAACTCTTTGTTTGTTTGGCATTTTTTCCAGCTCTCCTGCTGGAAAGTAAATAACGTTAAGTACCCCAAGAAGGTTCTTAAGGTCTATCCAAGATCCCAGCCTCCTGGGCACCATTCCCAAGTTTGTGAGAGCTACTTGGTAGTAATCCTGTTTCCATGTTCATACACTGACTTTTTTGTGTTCCTGGAAAAAAACATGAGGGTCTGCTTCTGCTCTTACACCTGGGGAGAGCAGCAGCCAGGTGAAAGCCAGCAGAAAATCAGGCCCAGAAAACCTGCTGTAGGGCCAGCACCTAGCAGGGTTATGTGGTTGGAAATTCCAAACTTGGAGCTGCCTATGCTTTTATTTCTATATTTTTGTGCTCCTTCCTCAAATCCTTTCTAGCTGAGCACAGGATCTGTAGACTCAGCAGAACTGCAGTAGTGACTAGGCCCATGCAAAATTCATTGACCAGGTGAGTCATTTCTTCAGTCCTGGGTGAATGGATCTCTCTACCTGGATGCCTGAGTAGGACTGTCTGAACCCCTGTTTCTGTCAAGGTGCTGCTGGTGTGCCAGGCAAGCACCAATGCTCCCCTTGGGTTCCTGTCTTCAGAGCTGCCTTTTATGTCCTACCAGCACTGAGGACAGAGCTTTCCACAAAATGGTAAGGAGAGCTGTGGGGTTTGCTGCTGCTGTGTGTCTTCCAGAACCTACAAGTACCTGGAAGGAAGTATTGAGAGAAGACATCTGGAAGAGGACAGATACCAGGGAATTGGAAACCTTGGATTGCTTCCACGCAGTCACTCAGACCCCTCTGCTCCAAGAGCCCCTTCCCTCGAGCCTGACTGGCGGAGGTGTCCCATCCCTGTCCCACTGGACAGGAGGGGGCATTCACTGCCTGTCCCACTGGGCACAGTCACTGGCTCTGTCCCAGCCTTTGTGTTTCCTCCCATTGTGCCAAAGATTATCGGCACACAACCACAACAATGATGGGTTATCGCAGTACAGCCTGCACAGTGGAGAGAATAAGTGCAAATGATTAAGTGGCCACAGTAGATTTCCAGGCTATAAATATCTCAAGTGACTCGAAATCACAAGGGCAGGACTGAGCCTCTGTGTGCCCCCACTTCCCTACTGTTTTCAGTCCTTTTTTTTCCTGAAAGTTACTTGTAGTCATTTCCTCCCTCCATCTCACTCGTCCTCACTGGAGGGGCTGTCAGCACCACGAGGAACATGCCAAAACTGGCATGTCTCCCCTGGGTTTGCAGCAAGTCTGCAAGGAAAAGTTTGTTGTTGCTTCCAGCTGTCACACTGTCTGGCAAAGATCCTGCCCCACGTCACTTACAGTCTGAAGACACAGCCAAGGGGAGATGGAATCTTACACTGGGTAGTAGCTTTCTCATGATCACAGCGATTCAGGGCCAAAGCCTCCACTTCTCCGTGTTTCCCAGGTCCTTGATCTCAGCCTGTCCACTGCAGAGTTGTAATTTTGATACCTGATGCTCACAAGTTAATTTCTGACAAACTGAATTTGTAACTTTTGTCCTCATTTTGGATCTGAAGTGGCCTCCTTAGAACAGTGGGCTGCTGTGATTTAGCCGAGGGATCTTCTGCTCAGGATCTATGGGCCATCCCTGGACAACTTTGATTTGTCTGTGACTGAAAGCTTTTACACTGGCAGAAACCCTAATCAAAGCCAGCAGAACAAAATGAAGTTAGGTCTAAGGTGGACTTTTCCTATGGAGCAGTTTGTGCCATAAGAGTTCTGCAGGGCTCTGAACTAGTGAGGAGTCCTGTAACCACTGGGTTATTGTTGGACTGAACTCCAGACCACCTTCTTCATCTCCGTGGGCAGAGGAGACACCACAGAGGAGCACCTCTGCTTTAGCTCTGCAGACACATTAAAGGAGCCTCCGGTCCCTGAGCCCCGTTCCTTCAGCAGCAGTGGAGGTTTCCTGTGCAGGGGCCTGTTTACGTTTGAAAATCCCATGACAGAGCCCAGCCAGCCTTCCCAGGCCCCCGCCGCTCCATCCGGTGAGGCCGTATCCCGGCTGGACCGCCCCGGCGGGTGTCGGAGTGGACAAACAGCACCCACATGGTCTCCATCACAGCCCGTGAGCGCAGGGGCTCGCAAAGACGAGTCGCCCACAGGATATCTGAGTGCATCCTGTGCGGAGCAGCTCCAGCTGGGCTCCCGCGCGCCCCGGAGGATATCCTATGTGTCGGGCAGAGACAGGAGAACAGCAGATAGCGGCTGTCTGAGGCTGTGGGCTGTTGTGCACTGACATCCTGGCACGGTGAGTCAGCCTGAGCTCTGGCACGGAGCAGGCGTGGGGGGAACTTCCCTCCCTGCTCGGGGAACAGCCTTCCATGGGGACCTCAGACAAATGCCAGTGAGCCAGAGCCAGCAGCTGGATGTAGCATGGAGGGTTTGCCATATTTAGATGTGTTTTTCCTGGAACAGGAGACTCCCACAATGAGAAAGAGAAAAGATGCCTGAATGCTTTTGCCTTGCCGCTCCTCGGCCACTTTGTTGCATCTGCTCTGCCCTCATAGTTACTACCACCAAGACTTGGCTCCCTCTGTTCTTCACATCCCCTCTGTCCTCCCTGTTTGTTTTCAACCTTCTCATTTATCCCTTTTCCAAGCTGACTCCACTCTGCTACAACAGGTGGAGGAAATAGGGACAAACAATGAGTCACTGGTAGGGCTTTCTTCTGCAAAGTGGTGGCTTGTATTGCTGGTCTCATCCCTTTGACAAGCTTTAAATCAAAGCTTGTCTTGGAGCCAACATCCGGTAGCCAGGACCCCAGCAGACCTGCACAGCACAGCACTCAGTCAGATCCTTTGAATCACTTGCTGGATGTCCCCATCAACATCATCAAGACTGTCTTGACCTCACCAGTGTTGGAGCAATCAGACACCAGCCTGTTAGCACCGATGAGGTTCAGCCATGAATTCTGGTGGAGAAGTGAGTTGGATAGGGAGGACCATGTTTCCCCCTGTTTCACAGTTCATGTTCTTCTGAATGTCAGTGGATGGAGAAATTGCCCAGAGAGGCCAAATGGGTGACAGATGATGAGTGGTGTTTCCACAAACTAGTAGGGTATTAAGTAAATGTTTAGGTCACCAAGACTTGTGTTCCATCCTGTATGCTAAGGAAGAAAAGGCACATACACATAAAAACAGCCCCTTACTGAGCAGGTTCCTGGTGCCCACCAAAGAGAAGGCCCTGTACTTACTACCTAGTGTGTTTTCATACTCCTTTCAAGGACATCAAATGTGTGTTAAAATGCAGAGTTTGGTAAATCTTTGCACAGCAAATGAGAAGGAGGCTGAATAATAACTTTCACAGAAAGGTTCAAATGTTGTCCAAGAAAATTACCTATTTCAGCAACATTTCTCCTGTTTAGTGTTTTAAACAATTGTGGGAGATAGAATACCTGAGAAAGCCTCCCAGTCAACCATTTCTATTGCAGCAGGAGTGTTAGGACTGATCTTTCAGGACTGATTTTTCTCTGTTGATGATGCCCTTCAGAAGGCACTGGGCATCCATAACTCAGTGAGCATCATATTTAATAAGACTGATTTAAGGTAGTATCTGCTTCGTTGATTTGGTTTGTGCTGGTCTTTGGTTATTTCTTTGGTTGTTTTTATGGTTATCTGATTTGTCCTGACATTTTTGGGTCAATTGCCGCTGGGTTTAGAAGTGGGTCTGGGGTCACAGCCTTGCTCAAGGCTGAATTAATACATATTTATAAATAAAGAGCCTCTAATGGAAGCTGTAGGCACCCAGCAATACAGAGCACTGTTCTCTGCACAAGACTGTAATTCTCTTGGCTGATCAAGTTTCCATTTGCTTTTTACCTGTGAGAACAAGCAGAGAATCCAACCCATAAAAATCTAATAATACACCCCAAAATAGTTCAGCTTTTAAATAAAACAAACAAACAGTAGTGCCAAGGAGTGGTTGACCTTGGTTTCAGCAGTAACCCCACTGCTTCACTCAGGATGCGACAGTGCACTTCCAGATCTCCCCAGTTCCTTTGCTTTCTGGGAGGGGTGAAAAAGATGGCAAAATGTGCACTCAGTGGGCACTGCCACCGATGGCATCAGGGGTGAGACCAGTGTGGTTCTCACACAGGGTAAGCACAGCTGGAGCAGATGCTGTGAACTGTCTGTGCTTGACTTGGGTCTGTACCAGCTCAGCCAGCAGCCGCTCATTTCCTTCTTGTCAGCATACCCCAAAGCAGCACAGGCGCCTGGCCAGGCTTTAGGCTCTTCATATGCTTTTAAATGTTTGTATGTAGCTGCTGTGGCAACCCACAGTGCAAAAACGAATAGCTTTTAAAAATAAATTCGAGGCTGGCGTGGAGGTGTGGAGCAGAGAGAGGAAGGAAAGGGGAAGAGCACTTGAAAGGAAAACGTAGGTCATTAAAGTTGTCATAAAAGAAAAAAAAAAGGTTTGAAACATCTGGTGGAATCATGAGCAACTTTTTACCAGGACTCTGCAGTTTGTTGACAAGTCCATGAAGAAATTCAGCAGTTCAGTTTTGCTAGTAACTGCTCACCAGGGTTACTATTAAGAATTACTAAATGCTGGAGAGGGCTTTCCCTGCCAGTGCAAATACAGGACTCTGCTGGAAGATCCCATCAAGTTCTTGCAGCACAGACGTGTGTGCAGAATTGAGTGTTATTGCTCTATGAGGGCAAACCTAACTCAAACAAGGATGACTACAGCAACTAAACAAGCATCTTACCATGAGGGTCTCCTCATTTGTCTGATATTGCTCAACCTGGCTGACCTTTAGAGAGACCTTTTCCACTGCCCCCACCTCAGGAAGCCCAATAAAAGATGTAACAAAGCAGGGTGGTGTTTCATAGAGTGAGTGCCAGCTGTCTTGCTACATGAAAACTGCAGAAAATATTGGTGGGAAAGACTGTGAGATTCTCTGCTCCCCTTGGGCCAATGCAGAAGTGTTTTGTGGCATTTTTTGCCTCAATCCTCTTTCAGTTTAGCTTTAATGGTCTGCTGGAATAGTAGCAATGAAAGATGAAGCTAAAAGCACAAATTTCACTGTTTTGCTGCCAAAACAAAGAATTGTTCCCAGGTTCCTTCCAAAGCTCTGTGAAATAACAGCTTTTCCAACCTCCTTGGGCTGAGTGTTTTCACTGAATGCTTGGCAGCCAAGTTGCAAATGTATCTAGGAGCCCCTCTCACCCCCACCTGACAGGTGCACAGAAAATTTCATGTAGCATCCCGTTGTATCTGATTCCTGCAGATAATAAAGGTCTGCTTTCTCTGCTTCGTTGCTCGAGAGGGGTAGGAGAGCCCCCCAGAGTCACCCTGGAACAGCCTGTGCTGAGTCCACTGAGGACTAGGAGGAATCCCTTTGAAAGCACTGCCAGGTCAAAGGCTTTTCTGCAGGCATAACCCTACAGCATTCCACAAAAAGTGTCTACAAAGCACCAAGAACAATCCAGCTGCCTTCACATAGGTGTCCAGGGCCATTTTAGGTAGGTTAGAGGATCCCACTGCCAGTCCAAGAGTGTGGGTCACACAGGGTCCTGTATCATGCCTGCAAAGGGAGCAATGGTACAACTTCCTTCCCAGTTTGGGTTGGTCCCTTGGGTTGGAAGGGACCTTCAAAGATCATTTAGTCCAACCCCTATATTAATACGTAGCAGCCAAAGGAGGGGTAAGGAGAATCTCCATCCTTTGCTGGATGTGGGGAGAAAGGATAAAGTTACTTCATCAATAAGTTCCCTCAAAGAGCTGAAATTAGAAATGTCACAACATCTGAGCACACACAACATTGAGTCTGACTCAATGCATGGACTTACGTCAGTGGAAGTTTCTGGGTAGTTGCCACTTGAAAAGTCAAACCATTTGGACACGCAGTTTAAATCTCTCGACCTACGTCTTCACGAGAAACAGCTACTATCCCAGAAGGACCTATGGTTGTTGTTGTTTCAGTTTGTTTTACAGGAATCTTGCTAGGTAATTTTGTTCCATTACAGTTTTTCATAGAACAGGCCCCATAAGTGGATTGAATTACATGTTTGCTACTAGGATAATTGCAGTTCTTAAGAAGTCAGCTGTATTGTCAAATGGCTTCTCTTAGGCTTAATTTCCCAAAAATGCATCTCCAGGGCTTTGTAAACTGTACTGTTACTTGCCATTGGGAACTTTCATGGGAATTGTACGTGTTTTTGTTCTAGGATCTTTAGATGAATAATTTTGATGCTTTTATTTTTCCGGATAATGATTGCAAATGTCTTAATGTGCTCCACTGTCCAATCTCTGACTGTTCACTTAAACATTAAGGATTTGCTGTAAACAATCATGACTGGGGAACACCTGCTTCGTGTCGTAGTCCAATTTCTTTTTGGAAGGACTGCATCCAGGCTTTGGTAAAATTACAAGCACTCCAGATGTGTATTCTGTTGTCAGCTGGCCTAGTGAAATCATTGTTTATTGACAGGTTCCCAAGAGTCAGATAGTTCTCAGTCTGCCAAGAAAGACATGCTGGCTGCACTGAAATCCAGGCAAGAAGCTTTGGAAGAGACACTGCGCCAACGCTTGGAAGAGCTAAAGAAGCTGTGCCTGCGTGAAGCGGTAAGCAATGGACATTTTATAACCTGTAACACTTTGTTGTTTGCATTGTTATAGCATGCTCCTTGTTTGGAGGTGGCGTGGGGTCAGGAGAAGAGATGCCTTCCACAGTCACCTCAGGAAAGTCCAGTTGTTTCAACTCCAGATTGCAATGTCCGGGACATTTTCCCCCTCAGAGAAGGGGACCCCACGTCAGCTGGGTACCCAGTTGGCCTGGGGCTAGGAGAGTACTCAGTATCCATGTCTGCTGTTTGAAATTGTTCAGCCAGGGTTCTTATTGACTTTGGTGGGAATATGCTGCTACCTAAATGGCAGGTTAGGAAGGACGTCTTATGTACTGGTCATCACTTCTCAAATCCTTTTGACTCCATTTGTGAATAAAAAAACCAACCCAGGCTGACACACCTTCTTTTTGGAGCAGGCTTGACTTTACATGCTTTGCTTCTCCAAGCACAGTCCTTAATACAGCACACAAGGTCTCATCTGCTCCCTGTAGATTCCCTTTATCCAATAGGCTCTGGCAGTGTGGTGGCAGACCTTGCAGAGGAACCACTGTAGTCATCCCAGGACATGCGGGACATCTCAGGAACTCATAACCTTCCGACTCACTTGCCAGTTCATTTTTGGAGTACACAGGAGGCCATTCAGAGATCCATTTAATGTTTAGGGAAATCACAACCCTGTTGCAGCTGTGTGTGTAGATTAGCAGCAGAGTACTCTTGGGTCATTCAGCAATCTTCCTATGTTTACCACGGCTGAGTATCTGAATTTAACAACAAATCATGATGTGTAACACAACAGGAAGCTGGCTGCAGACAGTGGCATGCAGATCTTTCAGTTCTTGCTTAATATTTGATGTGTATCTCGCCTTTGACAAAAATGGGGAAAAAAGGTCACTGATTCAGCTCTCACTGCACTTTATTTCAATTAGTCTATAGTTTTAATGCCAAAAAGAGTAAGTTGTGGAAAATACCTCTCAACCAAGAATGTCAGAGGAAGTCTCTGCTACCCCAGTTCACACCCTTTACTCCACATGAGCAATTCTTTCCCATCTGGAAAGCCCTGGTTGACCTCAGCAAACAACTTGTGCTGATAAAGGTTGCAGGACCAGATCCAGTCTGTAAGTCCACTGAGCTGAGATCATCTGCAGGAAGCAGTCACAGCTCTTCAGGAGCTGAAGGTCAGGGTCTGGAGGGCTCTACTTCTCCCTGAGGAATTTACTACCCTAAGCTAACGCTCCCTGACAGCCAGTGACTAATCCTTGCAGCAGCACCACATGCAGGGGAAGATGTGCCTATGCCACAGTTGCAGGAGCTCACAGCCCAGTGCCTTCCCTTTAACCCCAGTCCTGTCTTCAGTGCAGCCTCAGACATTCCACAGGCAACTGGGATGCAGGCAAAAGCCCCACTGAGGCATGGAGCTGGGGATAAGGAGCAATATCTCCTTAATGTGCTGCAGCAAGGCTGGCCAGAGCCCATCTGTCAGCACCTTAAGAGCTGGTAGAAAGTGTTCATGCTTTCCATAGGCAGTTGATGGACACTTGAAATCTGACCCCATCTTGCAACCCTACAGCTCATCCATCAGCAGCCAGTAGTTGAAAGTATTTCCTCTCAGGCTGCCCTTCATCCTTTCTGTTTTGGCATGGGAATAGCCAAAACAGAGGGAGAAGGCAGCAAACCAGGAGATAAAAAAGGGTTAAAAGTAGGGGCATAATCAAATAAGCATGGCCAGAGCCATTCATAACACTGGCATCAGGTTACTTCGGGCCATCCCTACTCCAGTTACTTATTAATTTAGATTACATTTCACAACCGTGCCTGTGAATACTTTTTAGCTTATGGAGGCAGCGTGGTAGCCCACATTAATTTTGTCCTGCTCTGATCTTGGGCATTCTACAGAAGATATTAACTCTTTCACCACTGCCCTCCTTCATATTACCTTAGGAGTTACAAAGAAAGTATCCCTGTTACCCTCGGGATAGAATACAGGAATATGTGACTTGGTGCAGTGCTTAGAGCCAAACCTCAGTAGAAGGAAAACATTTTGAAAGAAAAGCTGAAGTAACCCCACAGGGCTGGAGGGGTGATGCAGAATGGGATTCTGAGACATTGCAGCAGTGCCTCCTGCAATACGAGGCTGAGCACATCGACACAGAGCAGTGCTGCAAACCCATTTTGCTGAGAATTGCTTAAAGGGAATTTTTGAAAAGGCCAGGTCCTTGTTTCCTGATGACCTGAAAAGAGTAGAAAGAAAAACCCCATTAGGGAGCAGGGGAGAGGCCAGGGCAGGCAAGGACTGGGGCTGTGCACCCACATGCACATTGAGGTCAGCTGCTGTTCTTTGGGATTCAGATGATTTAGGTTACTCTGCCAGCTGGATCCTCTCAAGGCTGATGCTAAGGAACACAAAAGCCTTTTGTCCTTCATGGGGAGACTTTTGAGTACAAGGAGTCGGGCTGTGCTAGTAGTCAGGCTCCTGCCTATTTCTGTAGGCATTTGAATGCCTTCAGTTCGGATCTGTGTGGCCGTATTGTGTAGTCCAGGAGAAAAAAACCCACAGCATTAACATCAGTAGTGTCATTCGCTGCTTCCTGTGTTCCAGATATTCCACAGTTCTGTGGGGTTTGCTTCAGATTTTGAACAAGTTTTTGCAAAAAACTCCGTCAGTCTGACAGCATCAGCTAATAATTGCTCCAAAGCTGCCCGTGACATCACTGGGGTTTGGAAGGGGCTCTGATACATGAAGTGTTATCAGACAGGTAATGAGGTACCAGGCACTGCTTATAGTGGCCGTTTTCACTGCATTCCTCTCAGACACATCATGAATCAGGTGGGAATGTTTTTCTGTGCAGGTCATAACCTGCACAGCTGTTACCAGTGTGGCTTCTGACTCAGCAGACCTGCATCCTGCAGGAAGGCTCTCTGATCTGCTCACTCCCTCAGAAGTAGCTCAGCAGATAAGAGCTTTTGGTTCCTGCTCACCCTGCAGCAGAGATGAAGGCTTTGTGTGCTGCAGCCAGCTCAGCCTCAGGCCCTGATGCCCCAGGGATGGGCACCACTTACAGACCTGCCCAGGGCAGGCCACAAAGGTCTGTATTCATGCACAGGTTAAAGAAAAGGTTCCCACCCTCAGTGGCAGGTTCTGAGTTTGCAGGGCTGGGCGCTCTCCTGTGTGGTTATCAGCTGGCTGAACTGGATATATTGTTAATGAATGCCTGTCATTTTAGGGTCATACAAGAGCAGTGTTGTGCTGCAGGATTTCCCAGAGCACTAACAGGATTTTCTGCTTACAGGAGCTCACAGGAAAGCTGCCACGAGAATACCCCCTGGATCCTGGGGAGGAGCCACCTATTGTGAGGAGAAGAATAGGAACTGCCTTTAAACTGGATGAGCAGAAAATCCTGCCTAAAGGAGAGGTGAGGCTGTGCCCTTCCCTTCCAGACCCATGTCCCTACATTAGGTCTCTGAGATGTCCACTGTGCATCACACAAGAGCCATCAGTACCTATGGTCATTTTTGCTATAAATTACTGTAATTGGCTTTTTATTTTATATTCATCAGAATGGGGAAGCAGCAAGAGAGTTGATGGCTTTCTTTCAGACTCAGAATAAAGATGAAACCCTCGAGGTTCACCCTACCTTTGCTAGAGGTAACAGAAATAGCCTGGGTGACCAACTGGACCATAGCAGTCCAAGTGCTCTGATGACCAAGTGCAGTGATTTGTGTGAGCAGGGAGCACACCAGGAGCCTTCCTGAGCCATATGAGCCCTGCTTTTGCCTGTGTTATTGCAAACAGCCACTTGCTTTCCACTTCAGTAGCAGTCCAAATTCAGGATTGCTAACCAGGGAGAAAAGCATCACCATTATCCATCTTAGCCCTGCCATAGCAAGATAAAAGCGTTTTGCTCCCCAGTCCTTAAACAAAAGAGCCTTCATCCCTACCTATGGGGAGCTGGAGTTACATTTTTCTAAGTTTGCCAGGGAGTGTTTGTTCCCTTCCCTTGCTCCCACAGTGTGCTGGGTCAGTGCCCTGAACCGTGGCTGTGAAAACAGTCCTGCAGCAGCTGTAAGGCGGGACCGGATTCACAGAACAGCCATTGTCTGCGGAGACGCATTTGCAAGGCACTTGTGTGTATCCCAGTCTTGAGTTTCCTTTTTATTTTCGTAGGAGGAGGGACTGAAGCTGGTGTGACCGTGTGGTTTAAGGCTCGGTTCAGCCAGGGAATTAACTGTTTGTCGTTTTGTTGGCGTTTTCCTTCTGCTGAAAAAATAAACAGCTGGAGCTCTTTAGTTTTGTCCTCAATGGAGCCTGGGAGAGGAATTCCAGCGAAGTCAAATATTCATGAACTAGCACATTTAATTAAGCTTTTCAAAGGGAGGCATGGCTTAGCTGAATTACTCCTAAAACCCCTGCAGTCTGTTGGCTGCTCAGTTATAACCTGATCTCCAGCTTCCCCAGGTCTTATTGCTGGAAGGCAGCTTCTGGGACCAGCGGGTGAGGAATCTTCTTACTCCAGTGGCAGGGTTAGGTGGTGAGAGCAGGAAGGTAAAGCAGCTCCTCCCCATTGCAGGCACTCTGCCTTTTGGCACCAGCAATCCAAACATGCTGACTCAGCTCTTCTCTACCTCCTTTCTAATCTGTCAAACTTTAGGACTATGTTGAAAACCATAAATTTCTGTTCTCGAAGAACGATGTTGAACTGTGTTTGGCTGCCAGTTTGAGAGTATTTAGAGAGGCCAGTGATGATTTTCATGTGTTTTTCAGCAAGTGCAAACACTGGAAAATCAATTTAAAGCAAAAGATGAAATATTCCCTCAGCCACGTAAATCCAGGACTGAAATTACCAACTGTGACAAGGACCTGAAGCAAGGCACTTCCATCTGAAGCCAGATGATAACTCTCATTTCCTAAGGCTTTATTTATAGGGACCTCACTGGAAGAAAATAGACAATTATGGCCATGAGGAAAATTAATATGTTTTTCCTATGATATACTGAATGATTTAGAACTGAATCTGTGAAGGTCTGAAATGACAGCTCACATCAAACTCACCGTACCTTCAGCAAGACCTTTGTCAGTGCAAGACTTGCAGGGAAGGGTCCTGTTGTTTTTCTTGGTAATCACCTTTACCTGGCCTGAAATTCCTGACTGTGGGAAGGATTTTACCAGAAGATGATGAATCAGGTTTCAGGCTTTAAAACTTCATGGTGTTAAGTTCACTTTTAATAAGTCTGGCACTGATAGAGCTTATAAACTCTTCAAAGCAAAAAGGGATCTGTTAAAAAGACAGGGGGTGGGTTCAGTCTTCAGTGAAGTGAGGGAAATGATAATTACAGTTTTAAGGCAATGCTGACTCATTACTGATAGCAAAGGGATTTTTTTTTTTAAGCCAGAAGCCCAGAATAAAAACTTCAGAGAATGTCTTCAGTCTGAATAAATCCCACAGCATCAGCTCATACAGCACATGCTGCTGCTAAACAAAGAGAGGATTTGAATTTGCGTAATGGGGATCTCCATGAATATGAGGCTGTCCCACCGTTCATTAAAAGAAAAAAAGATTGTCATTTTTTCCCTAATTTGCAATGTACTGTGTTCCCCTTTCTAGCAGACTTACTCCATCCAGCTGGGGAAGGGAGCCAGATCCATTTCAGATTAGCAAGTACCTTTGAAACTCACAGCTTGGAGTCCCAGTGCAGACTGGGAAGCTCAATATCAGCTTATGCATTGGCATAAATTGGCCTAAGTCCCTTGACTTTGGAGGATAACCAAAAGTTGTAGGTAGCTTCCAGGGTACACCTACTTGCATTTAAAAACTCATCTGAGACCCTGCAAGGACTAACTTTGAAGGCACTGGTTCTTTTTGGCATACAGAGAGCTTGCTGTTACACACTGCTGGCTCTGGCTCCTGGCTTGTAACGTGAGGAGACAATTTTCTGGTGCAATCAGTTGCAGCAGCCCATAATTACATCAGCTCATACTCACCTCTGGATTTTGACAGCCATATACTGGGGATGAGTTAGCCCATCTTTGCCCTTTCTACCCCAAAGTGTTTGGTGAGTGCCAAGCAAACCTGTCAAGAAGTTTAAAGCTGTAGCTTGGGATCAATATGCAGCACTGATATCAAACGGGACTCAAATATGGAGATAGGAGACAGGGGGAAGGAGCAGGTGGAAGGCAGGTGTTACCCACAGGTGGGTGTAAACACATGAATGTGTCAGCAGGAGAGCACAGTTGAACTTGGCCATATTGAACTGCATGAAAAGCCAAACAGCACAGCAGGCTTTAGGGCTGGAGCGCACGTGTCCTCTTTGAATGGGTCATCCCTTCCCCCAGCTGTGCTTCCAGGCACTCATGTGAGCAGGTGAAGCTGTGCTCAGGGAGGCCCTGAGATGAGGGGAGCAGCATGGTTTTGTATGCTTTGCTGATGGAGAGCCTTGACTGGAGGCCACTGGTCAGGTTCAGGAGAGCTTCCCCATAGATGGGCTGGAAGAGTTTGGTGGTAACCAGAATCCACTTGCCTTTCTCCCAGGAGGCAGAGCTGGAGCGACTGGAGAGGGAATTTGCCATTCAGTCCCAGATCACGGAGGCTGCCCGGCGCCTGGCGAGCGACCCAAACGTCAGCAAGAAGCTGAAGAAGCAGAGGAAGACATCCTATCTGAATGCACTGAAGAAGCTGCAGGAGATCGAGAATGCCATCAACGAGTATCGCATCAAATCAGGAAAGAAGCCAACCCAGAGGGCCTCTCTGATCATAGATGGTAAGTGGGACTCAGCACCCACGGCATCACAGGGGGTCTGCAGAGCATGGGGAGCAAAATTCTTGCCCTGAGGCACAGATTTCCCCTCCCTCCTGCTCCCTCTCCTGTCTGGAGGGCTCCAGGGGTGCTGTCAGAGGGGTGCTGGGGTATGTGCCATGCGTTAGGGATGTGCTGGGTCATGGCACAAGGAGCAGGGTCGCACCGTGGGTGACAAACGTGTCAGGAGAGCAGAATGTGGCTCCTTTGTTCACCTATAAAATCGCTCTGTTAACGTCTCCTCTGGAGCGGTTCTGCACAAATGTAATTAATGTTAGCAGATTGGGGTGAGCTCTCTAGCTGAAAGGCATCTGTGAAATCAAAGTGGGAGCAGTGTCATTGCTGTGTTCAAATACTTCTTTTTCTTTTTTTTTTTTCTTTTACAATGTAACTCTCAGGGCACTTTATGGTTTACTGGGTTGTTGATTGGTTTTTCATGAAATCCATTAACTTTCTGCTGTGGTTCTTTCTCCCTTGTGGATTTTGCCCTTTCCCTTTGACTTGCAAAGCTTTTCTCTGTGCCTTTGTGGCAGGAACTGAGATTAGAGCTGCTGTATTTGTGACCTGGGTACCAAATTGCACTGCAGTCAGGGATAACAGAGAGCCATGAGGACATGGGATGGGGGAGGCAGCTCAAACCTCTTCACACCAAGGACCTGAGAGCTTCTCATGCTGCCGCAGAGGATGCTCAGAAAGCCTTTCCCTGAGTTCCACAGAACTGGTACTTAGTGTGAGCCTTTAGTTAGCAACAGGGATAATCATTTTAAGAAGGTGGATATCAAACCCAGAGTCCTTAAGGCCCGAGATTTAAATCTCATAATGGCACCATGCCATTTTGCATCCTCTGGGGATCTTAGCTCTCTGTTGTGACTCAGTCTTAATCCCCATTAATTGAAAAGGGTTAGCAGCTCCTTGAAAGGCAGCCTGCTACTGAGAGTCCTGGCTGCAGCTCTGCCCTCCCAGACTGATATTGGGCTGAGTCAGTTGTTTATAGGAATTCTGTGAGGAGGAAGATGTGGGTGACTGCTTAAGGCTAAGACACGGTGGACAAAGATCATGGTGCAGTTCAGCACGCACTCACTGCGATTCTTGGGGCCATCTGAGCAGCTTTATATTTTCTTCCTTTCAGAAGGAAACATTGCCAGTGAAGACAGCTCCCTCTCAGATGCCCTTGTTCTTGAGGATGGTATGTTGGCTGCTGTATGTTCTAGAGAGCAGGGGGGGAGGTGTGAAGTCCTGACTGATACTCAAAATGGAATAACTGTTCTGTATAATAATCCACTCACACATCCCAGTAGCAAAATCACTTGGTTTCCCCTGACTCCACCTTGTAGTCAGACATCCAGCCTGGAGCAATGAGTATTGCTGTGGTTACTGAATTATCTCAAAGGACAGTCCCAGAAAACCCCCTTATTTTCCTTTAAGGTTTCAATTGCTTTAATGCATCACACACTCTTGCTGGCCATTCTCTCCCAAAATGGGAATGTCAGCCAGTGCATTTCTGAAAGTCAGGTCTTCAGCTTGCTCCTGAACACAAGCAGGAGAAGCAGGGAAAGGAAACAGGCTCTGGAAATGTGATGGTGTCTCTCGAGGTTGTACTTCCATTGGAAGTGTCACACAGCCATCATCTCTCTCCCTTCTTCTCTTCACAGAGGATTCTCAGGTCACCAGCACAATCTCCCCTCTCCAGTCCCCACACAAAGGACTCCCTCCCCGGCCGCCGTTGCACAACCGGCCTCCTCCTCCGCAGTCGCTGGAAGGGCTCCGCCAGATGCATTATCACCGCAACGACTATGACAAGTCCCCCATCAAACCCAAGATGTGGAGTGAGTCATCCTTGGATGAGCCCTATGAGAAGGTCAAGAAACGCTCCTCGCACAGCCATTCCAGGTGAGCCAGATACTTCGAAGCTCCACCACGGAGGCATTCTCTGCTCTCAGGAGGGACGGGTGTGAGCCCTTTCAAAATTTACAAATAGGTCCCTTACCAATAGGGGAGACTTCAGGTGTTTTGGCCAATATGCAGGTCATAAAGACAGGCTGCAGCCACACGATTGCCGTGTGGTATCTCAATGCTATTCTACAAAATGTTTAAATGGGAAGGATGGTGGATCATCTGAGGTCTTTGACAGGTCTTGACCTTGACGTCTGGCTGCTGTAGAAGCACAGGCTCTGGGATGCAGCTCAGAGCAGCAGCTGACCCAACTCCCACTCACACCCACAAGATCCCAGGCACATGCCTGAGATCTGGAAAGACACATGGGAGTCACTTCCCCAAATTCCTGATGGGAGCTGAAGTGGATGTTTCCTCTGCAGCAGTCACAAGCGGTTCCCCAGCACTGGGAGCTGTGCTGAGGCAGGAGGGAGCAGCTCTCTGCAGAACAGCCCCATCCGGAGCCTTCCCCACTGGAACTCCCAGTCCAGCATGCCGTCGACACCGGATCTACGGGTACGCAGTCCACACTACGTCCACTCCACACGGTAAGTCTTCCTGGCTCCAGTCTCTGTTGCATACCCTGAAATAAATATTCCTTGCTTTATCCTTTCCCCAGGGTGTCAATTAATTCCCAGTTCAGGACAGAACACAAACCAGTCCTGTTCACATAAGAGGCTTGTGTACTGTTGCCAGTAGGGAATCTCTCCTGAACTGAGATCCTGAAATCCCTTCAGATAAACACGATCCTGCTCCTCATCCCTCCCTCAAAGTGATCAGGCTTTTATTCTGCTGGGACCTTTCATCTCAGGGGCTGTTTATAGGCTCTACAAACCCCAAGCCACTTTTAAAACACATGTGGTGCTGCTACTGCTGAATTCTGCAGTAAATTCTTCCATGGATCCAGCTGGAGAGAACATGTTGTTTCCTATCTGATACAAAATGTTGGGTAGTATTAATTTGTCTCATGGACAAAATGTTTGCATGTGTGTGATGTCATGTGGAGAGTGGGAGGCTGTATAAAGCAATCCACCTGGGGATCCAGGTGGCAGTGGATTAGCCCAGGGTTGACAGAGGAAAAAGCTGAAGTGTGTAAGGGAAGTGATTTGATGTGTGTGGCCCAATTTGACTCCAATTTTCAGCAGGATTTCTACAAACTGTTCAGCCTCATTGCTCTTTTGCTTTTGTGGCAAACTCCATGGACACTGCAGGGAGCAGAGCTGAGCCAGAGCTGTGTGCTGGTTGGTGTCCTGCCCTAAGGGGAAGTACCATCCTCATTTAGCTCAGCATAAATCAAGAGTTGTGCCAATACATCAGCCTCGGGCAGAGACAGTACAAGGCATTAAGACCCCGGGTTAAGTTTGTTACAAGTTATTGGCTGAGAGTACCTTTCAAGAGTGCAAAGTCTGTTAAGTACTGGAGCCAAGCTGTGTGAGAAATGAGCCTGGCACAGGGCTTGAGAAGTGACCTTGACCAGGTAGGGGCCATTTGGGTGTCTGAAACAACCATTGCTCAGTCTGTGGCTCATTCATGAGCTGCATGCCCTGGCCTTGACCATCTGTCATGGGGATGTGTTCCTGTTCCTTGAACGGATGGGTGAAGCTCTTCTAACAGTCAGGATGAATAGAGACCACCCAGACTCGGCCATGAATCAAGCCTTGTGAACTGTGATTTGGGGTGGTTGCCTAGAGGGCTGTTGCCCTCTGACAGTCCTACATGTGCCTCTGGCTGGGCCCCAGTAAAACCGAGCTGCTTGACAAGGGGTGATTTTTTTCAACAGCATTCTAGGCTAAGTATGGGCAGTCTGTCTGTCTGTCTGTCTCCCACCAAGTGGATTGTACCTGTACAGGGTATTCGTGGGCCATTTGCAAGGAAATCTCACCACCTTTGGGGCCTGAGGTGTTGGGATTTGCAGAGGTGACACAAGGGGAACCTGGTAGCACAGGGACGGTGCTGATCCAAACAGCTCTGCCATGCAGCTGCACCAGCAAAGCCAGGGCTTGAGGTCCCCAGGTTTCACCCTTCAGACTGGCCCTTTCCTAGGGTGGCAAGCCACAGAGGAATGGGGCTGAGTAAGGGTTTATGTCCCCCATGGTGCTGCAGACTGAATGTCACACCAAGGAACTGGAAAGGAACAAGAATAGGACCTAATTACCCCAAACCCTGCAGCAGGGAAGCAGATTGTATTGCAGACAGCAGCCCTACGCAGTCCTGGAGGGATCCAGGTTTTCACTGCCCCAGATTCCTTTGCCTGTGTGTGCAGGCAGGGATGGGCAGTGCTGTGTTCTGTTGACTTACCAGCCTGTTTTTTTTTCCTGGTACCTGCAGGTCAGTAGACATCAGCCCAACCAGACTGCACAGCTTAGCTCAGCACTTTAGGCACCGGAGCTCCAGTTTGGAGTCACAAGGAAAGCTCCTCGGCTCAGAAAATGA